GCGGTTACTGGAGCTCCTTAGTCAAGTCCTGCCTCAGGCTGCGCTCCCGTCACATCCCATCCACTAAACCCAGCCAGGCTACTGCTCAGTTCTTCCTTGAAGGGGACAGCTGTCAGAGACACCTCTGCAGGAGCTGGTGAGGAAACTGGACACAGATGTGTGCCTTGCATTCCAGAAATGCCAGGACCTAGGAATCAGCCTGGAGAAAGTAATTCCGGGGAAGCCACAGACATTGCAAGTCCCATCACAGCTCCCACGGGAATGGAGGTGGAAAATCTCACGCCCGCAAGGAGCTGGGAAACTGATGCAAAAGGCTTCCTTTCTTTTCAGGCTACCAGGGAATTGGCTTACAGGCTTTGCTTTAAGCAAATGCAAATGCGTTTGTCCCTTAGGAGCATTTCCCTTGCAGCCATCACCTCCTCAGTTGATCTTTCAGTCCTCAACTCCCATTCCCCGTTTCTCCGCTGGTATCAACCTGCCCCTTGCTAGATACAATCTCCCTTTCATCTCTAGGTCCCCAAACAGGGAAGCTCTCAGGAATGGGCTGTCCCTTACCATCACGACCAGAGTGGAGAAGATGCTCTCCCAGGTCACGGCCAAACACCCTCTCCTTCTCCACCTCCCGCTCTTTCCGTTGCTTTGGGCGGGCCTTCACCACGGAACGAAGGAAGGTGAGGAGCTTGCCGCGCTTCTTTGGCACTGCACAACAAAAGGAAGAAACCAGTTCATCTCAGGTTTGGCTCCGGTGGACGAGGCCGAGCACAACACATTCTACAGAGCACCTCAAAACGGGAAGAACATGATGAGCAAGTGCGTACCAAAATGGATTTTCCCCAACCCTGGAGAAGTCCAAGGCCAGACTGGATGGGGCCCTGGGCAGCCTGGTCCAGTTCCACATTAGACGTGGTGCTTGGTTGGCAGCACAGCTTGAGGCAGGGGGCTGGGAGCTTGATGATCCTTGAGCTCCCTTCCATCCCAAGCCATTCTACAAGGATTCTAGGATTTCCCCAACTCCAGTCATAAACACAGCAGGACTGGGCCAAATCTCTGCACGTTCTGATGGAGTTGAATGCACTCCTCTTGCTTAGCTTGCTCAACCTGGGCATTAAGGACCCTCTTGAAAAGCCACGTTCTGATCAAGCGTGTCACTAGCACAACCAGACCTCTATCTGTCCACCAGGGACGCTGGCTGCTCTCAGCCTCGTACGGACTTGCAGGAGAACTGCCTTTGCCTTCCCTCATTCTCACTGCCTACAAAACACCAGCCATACGCCCCGTGCTATGCAGGAAGGATCATCAGCACACAGGATAAGGTGGGAAGAATAAGGGAGGTATTAAACATGGAACACACCCAAAAAAGACTCCATTTAGCTTCCCTGCACCATCAAATGTCTCATCGTACCTGGCTTTGGCACTGAATTGATGAGAGACTCCGGGATTTTTCCGTTAATGAGCTCCACACACTCACCAGGGAAAAATCCAACCTGTAACAAGAAGAAGAGAGGTGCGATTCTGAAGGCAGCGTTTCTCAGGCCTGAACTGTTCAAACATCACCTTTTCCTCATAACGTGCCTGCTGGATGCTCCGTAAGACAATCCAACCAAAAAATGGCCTGCTTAAAATTAATAATTATTCAAAATTGGCAGGCAAATATCCATAAAACTGTGTATGGAGTGGGGAAAGGACAAGTATGCTATGCACCCCTAAATCTCAAGCGTGCCCGAAGGGAAAGACTTCATACAGAAGCTATATATTATGATAGATTGATGCAGCTAGATCTGAGTTAGCACAGCCTATGAAATTTCTGCTTGCTGACCGAGATGCAGCTGCCCTCCCCAGCTCTGAGCTACCCAGCCTTCTGCAGCCAGCAGCAGCAGCAAGCACGCAGAGGCTCTGTTACCCTGCCTCATCTCAGCTGACAGGCAGCAACTTCCTAAAAGACACTGACTTCATGCGTGTTCCACACAGATGCTCAGAGACACTGAAAGACGTGTCCTAAAAAGCTGCTGCATTTCCAAAGATGCGGTTCAGTGGCCGTGACCTGATGCATGTTGTGAGGGCTCTTCTTTCTAAGTTAACTGAGGAGGCAGTTTCCTACAAAGACCAACTTTCAGCTCTGGCCCAAGCCCACAGCAAAAGGGAAAGTCCTCTGACACCAGCACAGAGAAACCATTTTCCATGTGGAGCCATGCTGTGCAGGCAGGGCAGCTCTAAGCTGAGATTCCTGCCTCGACCGAAGTTGCGCTCTCACGTCTGAAGCTTGGGCCTACCTGAAAGCCGTGCTTGCCTCTCCAGCGGGGGCTCAGCTCCTGAGGCAGCATCTCGATGACGCACACGAGGTCTCCCACCTGCAAGAGATTGCAACGTCAATCCCAGCTTCAGCACGGCTGGGAGGAAAGCGCAGCTCAAACAACTGCATTCTTCTGCATCGCCTGATATCGTCAAGCTTGAGAGCGATTGCACCAGTGCAGCTCTTAAGGCATTTGCCGTTGTACAACTGAACGTGGAGGTAGAAGAGTCACTACAATACACAACATACAGAATTCAGCTGTTCAGTATGAAATGGTTCTCAAAAGCAGCAGGCTCTTTGCCAAAGGGATAACTCCAATTAAACCGCAGGCATAAGTCAGCCAAACAGATCCTGAACCAATCTGCACACTCCATACACTGGTCTGCCATTGCTCAGAGACCAGGCTACCACACTGGGCTGTAGCTCTTTGATCAGAACATCCAAATGCCAAATAGAGCCATAGTTTAGAGATGGCTGAACTCCTCCCTGCATCCAACCCAGTGCAAGTCTAATCTGGAACTGAATCTTTTAGGCTTCACCTCACCAAACATTCTGAAGGTGTCTGAGAACATTCCTGATAGCTTCACATGTTATACTCTTCTGTACACGACAACAAGGAACGCCCTTAACTGCTTACCTCCAAGGAGAGTTCATCCGGTGCCTGGGCAACGTATCTCTTGAGAACATGGGCAGCAGCAATAGCTGGGATATTAAGAGATGACTCCTCACGGACCAGCAGGGGCTTCCCGTTGTTCTCAGCCTGAAACAGAGAGCACAGGCCATGGTGAGGAGCTGAGGGCTGCAAGGAGGATTTCAGGCTGAGGAGCACATCGGCAGAGAAGGCTGCAGGAAATGCACTCGGTCCTTATCATGAGTGCTTAACAAGAAACTGCAAGTCTAATAACAGCTGTTTCTCTTTCCAGTGTGCAGCACTATCACCAGGCAGTGCAAAGATACATCTCTCTCTACCCAGACTAAGAGGACAAACTCCACAACCGAGACGGCTCCAGCAGTTTTATATACTTGCCATGCTTGCACTACTGCCTTCCCAAAGAGGAGCGTAAGAGTCTGCTCACTTCCTGTCACCCACTGCCTGGAGACCTCAGCCGTGGACTGGACACAGCAGCTGGGACACTGACCCAATCCTTGGCTCACTCCAAGTGCCACCTTCACAGAATCACAGAATCACCCGGGTTGGAAGGGACCTCAAGGATCATGTAGTTCCAACCCCCCTGCCTAGCAGGGCCACCAAACACACACATTCAGATCAGGTTGCCCAGGACCCCGTCCAACCTGGCCTTAAACACATCCAAGGACGGGGCATCCACAACCTCCCTGGGCAGCCCGTTCCAGGGCCTAACCACTCTCCTTGTATAGAACTTCCCCCTAACATCCAACCTAAATCTTCCCTCCTTCAACTTCGATCCATTTCCCCTAGTCCTGCTGTTGTCAGCCCTTTTGAAGAGTTTACACCTTCCTTGAACTTGCTGAATATGAGAACAGCACTTTGTCTGTGGGTGACAACATCCAGGCAGGACGGGGAAAATGCTTCTGCACGTTTACAACGCCGGATCTGATTCTGTTGGTACTATGACTTCCACGGCCATCTAGATGCCTGCAGCAAGGACATGAAGCTTTTAAGGCAGCTTTTCAGTGACACTGATAGAGCCACAAGGATTCGCTCTCTCTTGAAAAGCAGGAGAGCACATCTGCAACTCACTCTGCTGGCTCACGTTAGGGAACAAAGACCAATCAGAGCTTCATACTCTACCTCCATCCGTGCCATGTCAGGCCCACAGCTGATCTCGCTGCACGCGATGCCCAGCAGGCACGACAAGCTGGAATGAAAAGAAACATGCTCATATTTTCTCTGTTCACACACCACACTATTGAGAGACTTCCTCAGAACTACCCTCAGTTACCCACTGGCATAGGCAGGTGTTCTAGAAACAGCCACTTTCTTCAGTCAAATCAAACGAGACAGCCTACGAGGCAGCATTTGACCAAGCGGCTATCCCTCTGCTAGCAGATGGGGACTGGCACAAAGCAGCAGGTGCACTTGCTCAGAGCACTCCAACAGCGCAGCAGCAGGGCAGTGAGAGGAGTCACTGCTGGGGGTCGATCTGCTCCCCAGCCCCCGGCTCCCACCAGCCTCACGTCCAGCGCCGGCCGCAGCCTCGCACATGGATTTCCCCTGCTCACACCTCTGCTGTGCTCCCCACAGCTGCCAGGCATACTCACGCAGCCGAAGCACGCGTGCTTGTGTCCCTGGGTCATGCTGTGCAGCTCTGCACAAACTGGGCCTAGGACTCTTTGCCTAAGGGATTGGTTTCCTTCAGACCAGTTGGTCACAGCACCACACACAGCATCCTTCTGAGGGCGGAGCTGGAGGGGAAGTGGAAAAAACCCACACGGGACCAGTGTCCCATCAAAGCTGGGTGAGGCTGTGTTACCAAACATGGTGCGACACGAGCTGCTAAACCGTGTGGGGGGACAAAGCGTGGCACGTACCTGGCAGGAGATCAGAACAAGGTAGACAATTCCTTGAACTCGCAGCTGTTTCTTGTCACTTTGCTCTGTTCTTCCACGAGCGAAAGCTGCACCAAGGGAGCGGGTAGAGGAGAGAGAAGGAACAGGTCTGTGAGCTTGCACAATGGAGCAAAGATGACAAGGGAAAAGCCATGGGACAAATGCCATCTTTGTGGATCGCTTGGGAATGCAGGTACTGGGTGAAGGTTACGTCTGATGGACAAGAGTAAGCAGTATGAGGTGCTAGGAGCTCCACCAGACAGCAGTTTTCAACAGCTCACTGCCCACCCGTCCATCCCACGCTGTCTCAGCTTACCTACAAGATGCTGCACAAGACGGGGTGAAAACGAAGGCACTCAGTCGCTGCACAAGGGCAACAAGCGAGCTACTCACGCAGAGCTCAAGCGCTCCAATGAAGGGACGCAGCACGCACTGCTCCTCCCCTCATTCCAGCCTCTTGTGACATCACTAAGGGCCACCAGGCTGCTCCGCCATGATGACAGGGTGGGGAGGCAAGACCATGTCACAGGACCAGAAGATTCCAACACGGCACCCAACATTCTAGAATCAGCGGGCCGTTGGAATTCTACCTCAGCCCAATCCTGCAGAAGCTGCCATGGGGTTGTCATGACCACAGCGCAGGACCCAGCGCTTGCTCCTGTGCAGCCTCGTACGACTGGCCTCAGGCCATCCCTGGATCTGAGGGCTTTGTGGAAGGGGATATATTTCAAATTGCACCGACATTTTCAAACCATTTCTCTTTCGGCATGGTCCCAGCACCTGGCATGCTGATCATCATCCTGAATATACATTTTGTCAAAGTTCTACAACCAATGAAATAGTTCCTTACCAAACGCAATCTGATCACTCTTCTGGCCATATTTTGTTCCAGCTACCGCTTCCTGCGGGTGGCACCAATAGCGCTGCATCACCTATAGCTCTCTGCTCTTACAGTTCTCATGCTGTCTGGGCAGTCCTCGTGGCCTCACAACTCTCTCATGCCACACGTGCCACATTCTGAGGCACAGAAGATATATCGCACTACTTCAAACGCCTTTTTTTTTTTAAATATAATGATACTAGGGATAATCATCTGGAGCTAGAGCATTATAAAAAAATTCCCTTTAGTTCAACCATAAGTCTGCCCCACGGACTCCAGAAGAGCTCTAAGAATACGCAGGGTGGACATGGATGGCAGCTGCCATAACAGCAAGCAATGAAAAATGAGGTGGTGAGCCATGCTGTGTCATTGCATCTGTGGGCAGGAATTTCTCCTTGGACTGAGCAGAGTGCAGATGTAGCCTGAGAAAAGAACTTAGGATCATTCAGGAAAAGCAAATGAGTTGAGTAATTAATTGAAGAAACTCACGTTCTAAAGGTACTTAGAAGGAGAGAGTATTTCCCAACAGAATGGGTTTAACTGTCTATTCCCTGTTTTGTTAGACAGGTCTACTCTATGTATGCTTAGACTGACCTGAGAGGGCATGCTTCAGCACACCCCACAATTTCCAGTTTCCACATCGTCCAGGCAGCGCAAGTGCGGTGTACGTCTCCCTTGGCACAGACATCAAGCTTTTCTTCCTAAGCAATAAAACACGTAGCGAGTCAGAAAGGACAAGTGAACGTGAAACTCATTTTGCACGCAGCGCTAGAATATAGCTAAGGCACCTCCACTGAGATGAGCAAGCTGCGGTTTGGGTTGGGGTTTAAAGGCTGCCAGCTTAGATAGAAACTCTGCCATTCGGAAGGCTAAGAAACCTTGGCGCTTAAAATTCCTGGAGACTTGGAAAGTGCTCAAAGAAACCTTGAAAAGCTGCCTTGAAGTATTCCTGTTGAAAATTGCCGGGATGCCTCACCACATCATTCACCACGACTATTCAAATCATACACCATAGATTAAATCACTTTTAAAACCACGGATTGTAATTATAGGCAATACTTCCTCCCTGTGGATCTCAAGCCCTCGTGAGTGACTGGAATGGGGGGCGGCAAGGGGACTCTGGTGCTAAGCTGAACATCTATCCAGAAATCTGTTCTCCTGAACTAAAAATACGGGCTAAAGGAAACAAGGCATGTATTCATCATTACACTGACTGCATTAGAGCGTGCTTTTGTGCACACGTGGATCTAGAGACATCGCCAAGAATTTAATTGGTCCACCCAATCCTTAAGCAACTCAGTAATTCAAGACACCTAACAAGGATGGAGGCTCACTGGGCCATGGGCAAAGCAGGGAGGACAGAGGCAGGAAGCAGGAAGGAGTTCAACTCCAGCTCTCCCACACAAGAGACTGGGAGAGCTGAGTCAGCACCACGGGAGGAGTTACGACACAGCTTGGGAGCTTACAGAGAGACCTGAGATTGCCAAAGGACGGCGCCAGGGTAACTCTCACCAGTCCTGTGCAGGGGTTTCATGGATGCTTGGGATGCTGACTTCCACTGCCTGTGTCATTGGTAGGAAGTCCAGGTGACAAAGGCTCTTTCTGCCTGGGTAACACTTCTGTGGTTCCATGGTTATGACTGGAGGGGGAAAAAAAAAAAAAGTAAAGTAAAGCACGCAACCCTGAAGCATTCCTTGAAATATTCCCCCCCGGGGGGGGGCAGAAAGTAAGAGCAACCGACTGCACCTACCCAGGCTTCTGCATGGCCTCCAATACGGTCTCACGTCACAGGGAGAAGCATGGGGGAGAGCTCTAGTGGCTGAAGAAATCAAGGTTGCCCCTACGATGCTGCTTTGTAACAACATGCCTTACTGCACATGAGACATGAAAGACAAGGTTAAGGTCAAAAAGACTCCACTCTCCGTGGATGTGGCTGTCTGCACAAACAACAGCTGCCTGCTGTCCAGCAGATTGATGCTCACCCAGCAAAGCTCTTACCATCAGATGCCCTTCATGGAAACACAAAGTTAGCAAGCATGGAAAAGATCTCCAAGATCATCCAGTCCAACCATCCACCTACCACCAATATTTCCCACTAAGCTACGTCCCTCAGGACAACATCTAATGTTTCTTGAACACCTGCATGTTTCTGGGCAGCCCGCTCCAGCGCTGGACCACTCCTGTGGAGAAGTGTTTCTTAACATCCAACCTCAATCTCCCCTCGTGCAACTTGAGGCCATTCTCTCCAGTCCAATCACTACTTATACGGGAGAAGAGGATGACGCCCACCTCGACATGACCTCTCTTCAGCTCATTGTAGAGAGGGATAAGGTCTTCCCTGAGCCTCCTCTTCTCCAGGCTAAATAATCCCAGTTCCCTCAGCCGCCCCCCCATAACACTTGTGCTCTACACCCCTCACAGCTTCATTGCTCTTCTCTGGACACATTTCAGGGTCCCAGTGTCCTTCACGTAGTGAGGGACCCAGAACTGAACACAGTACTCAAGGTGAGGACTCACCAGAGCTGAGTACAGGGGATGATCACATCCCTGCTCCTGCTGGCTCCAGCCCTTTGCACTGCACTTCCCATCTCAACCATCCCTTCTGCAGTAGCGCTTGCATCCTCACTTAGGGCTGGAGCTCAAGAGCTCAACGCAACAGGAAGAACACAGCATGCAACTGGAAGATGTGTCTCAAAGCCAACAAGAGTCAAGTCTCTGAACTTGGGCACAACTCACCAACTGAGAGCCAGGCCTTGCAAACTTGGCTGATCTGAGCACATCAGAGGGAGCTGCACACCAGACCACAAGCATCCATTGCAATTGCAGTTCTATGTAGAGAAGAACGCCAATTAACAGGTGTGAATGAATTCACTCACAAGCTGCACAACGAGTCTGTTCTTCATTAAAAATCCCACATGGATTCCTAAGCCAAAAAGAGAACAGCAAGAGCTAATAGTGATGGAAGAGGTTCCTGGTCCTAAACCTCATTCTCTTACCCCAATTTTCCTTGCCTCCTACCCTACCCCAATCCCTGGATGATGCCCACAGACTTAAACTCAGACCTCAACTCCATGAGCTGAACATGAACACATCTACCCCAGAGCAACAGGATGGCAGACACACAGCGGAAGATAACCAACCTGCAGAAGCAGCTTCGTTGGGGTTGGTCCAGATGTTTGGATGCTGCCTTCCATGGCCCAGGCCAAGCTTGCTGAGCTGCTCCTCCTTTGTGCAGGTGGAAAGCGGTGCAGATGCTACGTGCTGGCTATGCATAGTGTGCCTTTGACTTGATTTTCCTCTCTCCATCTTCCATTAGCAAACAGCATTTCAAATCTTTCCTCGTGAAAAAATCACCTATGTAAAAAAGAATTGGCAATATTGCTTTTGAAGTTTCCTTATTTGTACAACTTGATGTTTTAAAGCTGAAGCTCACCTAGCAAAGACCTACCTTAGACAAGCCCACCCTGCAGGGAGAAGTCATTCCTCTGGGTACAAAGTCTGCAGACACATTTCCAGGTGCAAGTGTCAGCCCACTTCTTAGCACAGCTTTACCAACCACAGAAATCCAGTTTACGCCTGCTGTGCTTTACTCTCTTCTGAAACACTGCATCGCTGCAAGAAGCAAGGATTAAAATCACAGAACCACAGAATTGGGGTTGCAGGGGACCCCCAGTGATCACTGAGTCTAAAGTCCCTGCAAAACGGGCTCCCTACAGCGGGCCGCGCAGGTGGGTGTCCAGGAGGGTCTGGAATATCTCCAGACAAGGAGAAGCCACAGCCTCCCTGGGCAGCCTGTTCCAGCGCTCCATCATCCTCGCCGTGAAGAAGATCCTTTGCATTTTGGTGCAGAACTTCCTGTGCTCCAGTTTGTGGCCATTTCCCCTTCTCCTGTCCCCACAGATCTCTGAGAAGAGGTTGGCCATGTCCTTTGGACTCCCACACTTAACAAATACATAAGCATTAATCAGATCTGCTCTCAGTCTTCTTTCCTCAAGGCTGAACAGACCCAGGTCCCCCAGCCTTTCCACAATGGGGAGGTGCTCCAGGCCCTTTATCACCTTCCTGGCCTTCTGTTGGACTCTCTCCAGGAGATCCCTGTCATTTCTGTACAGGGAACCCAGAACTGGATGCAGTACTGCAGGTGAGGCCTGACCAGGGCAGAGCAGAGAGGGGGGATCACCTCCCTTGCTCTGCTGGCTGCGTCATCTCCTCGCACAGCAATTAAAGACCACTGTGACGTTATTGGAGGGTTTGGTGTCCTCAGTGGGTGAACCCAGCACTTGCCTGTATGGCAGTGTGTGGCCTTTTGGCTCCAACAGCAATCCAAACCCCAAAGAATCAGGGAGGGACCCAGAGAGCCCCACAGTGACCTGGGAGCCACAAGGGCCCCACAAGTGATACATCAGCACCCCGTAAGTGACAAACAACTGAACTACAAGTGCCCCATAAGTCCCCCATAATTGACCCATCAGCACCCCATGAGTGCCCTACAAGTGTCCTGTCACCAACAAGTGCCCCCCAGTGCCCCACAAGTGACCCACAAATGGCACAGCAGGGACCCACAAATGAGACACACAGGCCCAGAAGTGCCCCACAGCAGCCTAGGACCCTTAACTGGCAAAGGGACCAGGAATTGACCCATAAGTGCCCCCACAAGTGAGGCAGCAGAGACCCACAAACAACCAACAGCAGCCTGTGCCCCAAAAGTGACACATCAGCACCCCATAAGCAATCCATAAGTGACCCACAGGTCCCACATCTGCTTCCATGGCTGCGTTGTTTCCACCTGTGCTCGCAGGGCTGCACCCCTCAGTTGCTCCAGCATTGCTTCACATGCACTCCCTGTACAACTCGCCTACCACCCTATTTTGGGGGCACCGACCCCCACCCCGCTGTCACAGCCGTGCACCGAGGGCACCATCACCCCACTGCGCACGGCCATCAACTCGTCCCAGGACTCCATGCACCCCACAGGCAGCCCCCAATGCGCGGAACTGCCCCTGCCTGTCACTGAGTCCCGCAATCAATTCTGCAGCAAAGTTCTTGCCGCGGTCTCTGCTGCCACCGCGTGGCCAATGCGCGGAACTGCAGCTGTCTGCCGCCGAGTCCCGCCAGAGGCATAACGCATGCGCCTAGAAATGCGGAAGTGCCGTTCTAACCTCTCTGCGCAGCTCATCCGCCGCTCTCTATGGTGATCAGTCCTCCAGACAACAACGAACGTGCGCCCGTCACCTTAAAAAGAACAACTGTTTCGAAAAACCACTGCGGGTACAGGCAAGCAGCCGATTCTCGGACCGCGGGTTCAGCGATATTTATAATCCACGATGCCCCTCGTCTATTTCCGCCATTTTATGCGCAAGCCCACCCGGGAACGGACCGGTTTGGCTCACAGCTGCCCTTCAGCGCCTCGTGGCATCCAACCTGCTCGCCTGCCCGGTGAACTGGAAAACGTCTCCTTCCACCCCAGCGCTGCACCATCCCCCGGCCATTTAAAAGCCCTTGCAGCGGCAGTGCAACACTGCTTAGAGCGGCTCGGAGCTTCTCGATTGCGCTACTGATGTGCAGCAGCACCAACACGAGCATGTCTCGAGAAAGCAATACATATGACTAAATCCAGGCACTGTAACGCGCTACGTACACGCGCCGGTTTCTGCCCGGCACGGCGCATGCACCAGCTCAGTACCGAGCTACTCATGCGGCTTCTTGGAACAGCACTGCGTATGCGTTGCGCGCTGCGTGCAGCCCGCATGCCCGGATTCCATGACGACAGTACGCATGCGCCTTCTAGACATCGCACTGCCCATGCGCACGACAAGATGCATGCGCTCTTTTTCACAGCCTGCTATGCATGCTTAACTCCCTACCAATACAGCAATGCGCATGCGTTAGCTTTCGATTTCGCAGCGCACATGTGACGATTTCATCTCTGCACGGCGCGTGAGCCCCGCTTGATACGGTACTGCGCATGCGCCAGCCTCGCAGCCATTATGTGCATGCGCAGTGTTCATCACGGAACTGCGCATGGGCGAGCTGCACTTCCGCAGTGTGCATGCGCCTTTTTCGTCATGGCAGTACGCATGCGCCTGTCCGGCCAACAGTGCGCATGTGTCTCTTTCTTCGTCGTTAAGCGCATGCGCCATTCTCGCAGCAGCGCTGCGCATGTTTTCGCCTCCAATCATCTCTACGCAAGCACCAGCGGTTCGCTTTGCACTGCGTATGGGCAACTCCTGGCACAAAGTGCGAATGCGATTTTTTTTCGGAAGTGCACGGCGCATGCGCGAGCTTCCTCGCCGCGGTGCGCATGCGCGAGCTTCCT